AGTCCCCCTCTCGCCGCCCAGGGCAAGCGGGCTGCCCCGCCTCTCTCCAGGACCGAAACATAATTAATCAGAGCGCGCGCGGTGATGGTGTAGATTATGTTGGTTACAAAGAGGAGCGATTTCTATACACCACCACCAAGATGTGTAGTTTCTGCTTCAGGCGCCCCCCATGCCACGGCGCCTGCTTGCTGCGCCGCGCTCCTTTTTCGCTTTGGCGTCGCAGCGTGGTTTGGCACGACCCTGTCCCTAACGGTTCTTGCGATTGATTATTGTTGCGGGCGGTGGTGGCGTATGAGTATTGGCCTCGCCAGTGGCAATGGGACTTATTGATCTGAGGATTGCAAAGCGACTATTCGGTGGGCGATCACAATTGATTCGTTGTGTGGAACAGTTCAATACCGTGGTATCGGGGATTAAAATAAAAAGTTCGTTCTTGGAGTATTTAATCGAATCGATTTTGTGGCGGGCTTCAATAAACACATGTGTTGCATAAACTTTGCACCTAGATGTCCACTGTGACGGAAACATTAAATAATGGTTTGAGCAATGTGACAATGAATGCGTGTTTCAACATGTGATAATTAATGCGCGTTGAATTCTTTACGCTTCGCGTATCCCCACCAGCCCATCTCACAACAGCAACTCTTGCGAAGCATGCCGACAGTCGTGTTTTTCAGGCGTGTGTCCGCTTGGCCCCGCATATCTCCCCTGTTACTCCTTCCTCCCGCCTCCTTGCACATCCTCATTGTAGGGGGAGCGGGAGAAGGACGAGGCGGAGGAGGAGGGAGAGAAAGCGCTCCTCGTGGTTTGAGTCGTTTGGGGTTTCTCGTCCTGGTGTGAGTCGTTCGGGCCCTTCTTCCTGGTGTGAGTCGTTCGGGCTCTTCGTGGTGTGAGTCGTTCGGGCTCTTCGTCCTGGTGTGAGTCGTTCGGGCTTCTCGTGGTGTGAGTTGTTCGGGCCCCTCGTCCTGGTGTGAGTCGTTCGGGCCCCTCCTCCTGGTGTGACTCGTTCGGGCTCCTCGTGGTGTGAGTCGTTCGGGGCCCGCGTCGTGGTGTGAGTCGTTCGGGCTCCTCGTGGTGTGAGTCGTTCGGGCGCCTCGTCCTGGTGTGAGTCGTTCGGGCCCC